CTGCTCTGGCGTGGGGTCTCCACAGGCTGCAGGCGGACATCTGCTCCACCGTGGACCTCCATGGGCTGCAGGGGCACAGCCTGCCTCACCATGGTCTTCACCACAGGCTGCAGGGGAACCTCTGCTCCGGCGCCTGGAGCATCTCCTCCCCCTCCTTCTTCACTGACCTTGGCGTCTGCAGAGTTGTTCCTGTCACATATTCTCACTCCTCTCTCCAGCTGCAATTGCACAGGTTTTGGGTTTTTTTTCCGCCCTTCTTAACTATGTTCTCACAGAGGTGCTACCACTGTCACCGATTGGCTCAGCCTTGGCCAGCGGTGGGTCCGTCTTGGAGCCGGCTGGCATTGGCTCTATGGGACACAGGGGTAAGCTTCTAGCAGCTTCTCACAGAAGCCACCCCTGTAGCCCCCCCTGCTACCAAAACCTGGCCACACAAACCCAATACAGATGGGTAGAGAACTAGAGCATTATCTCAAGAGATACACATCTGAGCATTTTAAGAAAGAAAAGGGGAAGATGTCTCCTTGACCTCGCGCAGGTGCTATAAGCCCTGTTATAAAAACATAGAGGGCCACACCTCCTGCTTAAAGAGAAATTCTTTGATGGAGCACGTCAGTTCCCTGCTTTCCAGAGGAAGTTTTATGCTGAGGATCACAACAGACTGCAAGCACATTCCCATGACCTCAAGAAATCTGCCTAAGCCCGAAAGAGAGGTGGCTTTCAGGCCCTTTCCTCAGCATTTCCTGCTGGCCGGAGCTTGATTGCTCCTTACTCACCACCGTTTGTTTTGGATCTTGTCTGAGGTGCTTAAGTCTCCCCATCCAGGAAGATTTTTCCCCTGTAGGTGCGTCCCAGGTACCAAACTTCAGACTTTACATTCCACTGCAGGGACCAGTCACCCCATTTTTAGGTACTGAGTCTTTTACTGGATTTAAGAAATCATGACTTGAGGTGAGGAAAACTTTGTTGCCACTATAATGCTGGAAGTATCTTTCTTATTCTGAAAAGTTAACACTGGATTCAGTTTAATAAAAAAGAAAGAAAACTTGACCTAGGAGAAAGGAAATGTCATAGGCAGCGGAGAACCACAGAAAGAAGTGGTTATTATGGTGGCAAACAAATGAATCCAGCAGTATATTTTTGAATGCATTTGATGGACTCTCTGAAGTTAGTCTATGAAGCAACTAAATTTAGCTCTTAGTTTCTTTGCCAATTAGAGGAGCACCTCTCCTACGTCAGGCAATGCTTATTCATTCTTTTACCACCATTAAGAATGTGTGGTCTAAATTGGTTACTGATTTCAGCTAGTGGTAAGACGAAAACAAGGAAGGTTTCAAACCAAACCAGGTTTGTGTGGTTTTTGTTTTTTTTTTTTAACCAAACAGTAATGCAAGATCTACAATTCCCCGTAGAACATCTTCATACTGTTCTACTTATTCTATGACTGAGCTGATGCATTTCTCAGATTAAATGTTTTCCCAAATTTTCTTGGACTCACATAGTTATTGATCTGTATTTGCTAGTGGCATATACGGGTGGTTAGCTGTATTGCCTGGTTGTGCCCGTTATTCATGGTTACATACATGTAACGTGTACATGTTATGTATATATGTACATCTTTACACATTATCTTAATTTCCTCATTCCTTTCCATGCAGTATGTTTTTCTATCAACGAATTAGGTCGAAGTGCAGAGTTTCACAGCCAAGAGGATGACTTGCTCCTTATATATCCATAGTTCAACAGGATTGTCTCAGGCTGAAGTGTTTAAGTGCTGTACATCTGATGAAGGTTGACCATTCCTACAATTCTCAGGAAAATAGGCTGCATTGTTAGGAAAACAAACCAAAAAAACCAAACACTGAATTGCTCGTACCACTGAGCTGTTGTCACATCACTGTGACCAAATAAAGACTTTTTGATCCTTACACATTCTTTTGGACAACTTCCAGTATGAGGAAGTGTCGCCCTTACACCCACTGTGGTGCTGCTATAGAAAACAGCGTGCTTCAAGGATCTCATTAATACTTGCGGTGCATCTTGGAAGTGAAAGAATGAAAAACAAAGCCCACTGTAACCTTTTTTTAAAATTTTATTTAAAGTGTGACTTTTCTATTTAAAGATTGACTGGTTTGTCCAAATTTGAACATTAGGGGTGATCTCTCAGAAAAATAAATAGGCAGGCAGATTAGTAAGGCCACTTACATTTCGATGGACTGGTTAGTACACCAATAAACACCTCTCTCAATCTGCATTTGCTGTAGTTACGTGCTCTATTACTGCTCCTTCAGGCTCCTTGAAAGGATCTTGAACAAAGCTCAACCCACCTGTCACTAGGCCCTCTGTGAAGATCTGCTGTTTGGGAACAGCTACGGCTTAATTAAGCCAGTGGAGTTTTACTGGCTGTCCTTTAGTTGTTATATCTTGAGACTGTAAAAGACCAAAACCAACTCAAAGCACAAAAGAAAAGCCAAACCCCACATTAAAATACATGACTAAAATCTACTGCCCAAAGGCATTAGCAAAAGTAACATATGAAATATTCCACACAGCAAGAGAATACAAAACTGCCTTCCTTACTCAAAGCAGTACCACTTTGGAGAGGCACGTTCTATTTCCCGAATGCATTCTGTGGTTCAGAAATCAATATTAGTATAGCACCAGCACTTAACAGAGTTGTGGAGCTTTGGTTGTGTTGCATACTTTTTTTGTTGGAACAGGTGCATAGGTTAAATGCAAGTTATTAGGCTGAATATGGAAAGTAAACTGCTTTACATATCAGTCCACCAGTTTTCAGCTACCAGAATAGGTGAGTAAATGGTCCTGTCTAGCCTTGACTTCTCTGACTTTATGGAAATTTGAGTTATCATTTGATTTTTTCTGAGTCCATCTTCTGCTGTATTTTCTTTTACTCTACTTCTATCATTCTGAGCAGCAATTTACCAGGCTGTATTGCAGAACAATTCTCCCCTATTGTAGGGCAAAACATACTGAATTTTAGGACAGCTACTGTTAACTTAGACAAAGCAAGTAGGAGGGCATTAACCAAGAGCAGGCTGATAAGCATCAGCTTTCACTATGAAGAAACAACTGGCTGTTCAAAACCCCAGCATATGGAAATCCATCAGAGGACTGGGTTACTGACTGTGATAAGGGTTTTCTTTGCATGGTTGGATTAAACATAGCTTTATCTCCTTTACCTTTTTGTTAATCAAGCCACACACAGCTTGGGATTTGAACAAACAGCATTTCTGAAACTGAAACTTCCACCTTTCTAATGTAAGGATTCATGGTAATTCACAGAGCAGATCTCTTCCTCTCTGTATGCAGAAAAGAAACTGGAGAATGGCCATGTCTTTCCAGACCCAAGTAGTCTCACCCAGACTCTACAAAGACATGGTAATTTAGATTTCATGGTGTGTACAGAACTTATCCAGACATTCAGGAATGGTGCAGAAAGCAATGCTGTAAAGGGTCAGATAACAGCACAGTGGCTTCATATAAAACCAGCTGTTCATGGCACAGAAACTCCAGCACTAACATTAACGTGACACCAGTCTGTGGCCTCAGAGCAGGCACAGCTGTGTCTAAAGGAGACGGCTTCAGTGCAGAGCAACCTCCAAAGAAGTTGAAAAAAAACAAGCTGACCTGTGAGCTCTGTAGGATTCTGGGCACAGATGTCAAGACAGGTTGCACATGCCAGGAAAATGGTTCTCTCCTGCCCATGGCTGCATGGCTTCATGCAACCTACCATAGGTCCAGGCAGAAAAAGAGGGGGAGCCCTCCCTTGACAAATGCACTGCAGTGATGTGCAGCGATTGCTGCGACACCTCCATACTTCAAGCTGTCCAGTACTACTAGCTGAAGTCCCAGAAAGGCCTGGCAACTGAAGCAAGATGCTACAGCATTTCAGTGCCTTTGGCTAGGGTTGCTCATAGATCTACCCACCCCACTGGCTCTGCACTGAAAAGGGAGTTTTGCAACTTAAGTACAGCAAACCAAAGCCAAATAGCTTAACAAATACAAGGCTCTGTACCAGTTTGACTGAGTTACACACTTGTTTGCACAGGGCTTGATGGACTCGTTACCCCGCATCAAGGGCTGAGCATACAGACTGCAATACTCAATCCTCTGATCCTTGTCCAGTTCCAATGCAGGCTGTGACCAAAAAGCCTTCTAGAGTATGGACAGCTTGTAGTGGCTTCTCTTGCCTACCACAAGGGAAAGGATAGAAGCCTGACCACTACAGTTAATGCTACTTTCTCAAAAACCTTTAACCCGTATCATATATTCTTATTCATGTTCTACTTTTCAGAAGCCTGTTTCCTCACACAGCCTCATGTACAAGAGGGAAGATAAACTTTGTGGAGTAGTCTCTGGATCTGCAGTGCCTTGCTTGCTACCAACCAAATCTTGGGCCATACACAGACATCACCACAATTAACAGTTTTGAAGTATAAAATTGTCTCAAGTAGAAACCAAGTAATAACCTTGATTGTGAAGAGACATGTCCATCTGCTGCCATCAATTTCTTCCAGTACTAAATAATCTAGCACTTAATGCACTATCAAGATCCCAGGCCAGTATTTACTGTCGCCTTGAATGTCCCACAGATAGAGAACAGATTAACTCACTCCTCAGAGAGCATTGACTGTGCTGGAGTTGCTGCTCACCTTAGTCCTTGACCCTTTAGGGAAAGGAAGTGGCCCTGAAGAAGTCTCAAGTCTGACTACTTAAAGACGTACTGCAGTTTACAGAAAATTTTTTATTTTCTAGAGGACGCATGTGTGGGAGATATTTACACCAGGCCAGGCTCCTTGGAGCCTACCTGGGAACAGTTGGTCCTGTGCTGAAGCATAAACTGCAGGCATTCTTCTACTTGAAGTATAATCAGAATTGATGCCAAATGCTCATGCAGCTGTGGGTAAGAGCAAGTGAGGGGGGCTGTCTTGTTCTTTTACACTGTGTGCAATTTATTTATTTATTTATTTACCTTCTGTAAGAAGGGAACACCAAAGCCAGTCTGCAGCACTTAGGTAATACTTTAATGGAGTTCAGGATGCTTAGGAATGCATCCTAATGCACCAGGAAGGAAAAAGCAGACATGCATAATGCATTTAATAGAAATTCCAAAAGATGGTATGACCTGTTCCCCTTAAGAGGCATCAATCACATTAAAATCACTTTTTAGGTAGGGAGCTTTATCTAACAGAGGCCTAATGATTTAGCCATCCCAGTGAGTTTCACAAAGTTGACGTGATGTTGACAGTGCACACAGCAGGGGATAGGATACTGGAGCTAAGGAAAGCAGTTTGCTTTCCAGTATGACTTTGCCCAAAGCTGGAAAGCAACAGTACCCTCTCATCTTCCTGGGAAGCGATCAAGAGAAATACATCAATTATGGGATGTAGATGCCAAGGTGTGTGGCACAGTCAAGGACTCACAGAAATGCGGCCAGAAAACACCAATGTAAGGATGGATCAATTCCTCATTCCCTCTACTGCTCATAACCCAAACCCATAACCTACTTGAGCTAACGCTGCCTGCTCTTGCAGCTCACAGTCGCCAAGAAATTAAGTTAGCAATACTACATCTAATGTATTCCCCAACCTTATTCAGCTCTGACTAAAGCACTGCTGATCCAGAACAAAATTCAGGTCTTTAAGCACGGCCCCAAAGTAACTGTGTACCAGGCTGCCTCCACCTGCAAAGGCAGGGAAAAGAAAGCCGGCAGGAGTGCCATGCAAGCACACTCCCCTGGGCCTTGTGCCTTTTACTGCCACGAGGGCTCCCAGCAAGCTGGAGAGGTTGTTTTCAACCCAGAATGGTGTTAGCTCCTGCTGGGAGGAAGAAATCTACAGAAACAGCACAGCACTGGCAATGACAATGTTAGTAAGTTAGCACCTGCAAGAAGAAAGGCGAGAAACTCATGATCAAATTTGACACTTATTGTCCTGAGAAGACTGGAGCTTCAGCCCTGACTGTAGTCCCCACAACCAATAAGGGACTTTTCACTCTCCCTTCTACGTGTTCCATATTTATCCATGTCCTCCTGTTGGTTAGACAACATATGTTTTGGAATAAATCCCTACAAGCCTGCAACTAATTAATAAGCAGGAGCAATTTAGTTCCTGCAGTATTACACGAGGTATTTGCTTAGAGATAGAAACTGAACTATGTTTAAGAACGGATTTAAAAGGTCTGTGCCTACTTCTTTGGAGAACTGAGTTGATCTCAACCAGCAGACAGGACAGAACTTGTTACTTGGCTTATGTATACTTTCTAAAGCTGAAAAAGGTCACCTCTAATGTAAGCTGGTGCTCAGCTAAGTCTGATCTCAGTCTTGTTGTCTATGCACAGATATTTAATCACAGATCATGGCCTTTGAAGGCTCTACAGAAAAGCTCCAAACAGAAGTGGCAAGTGACGGGAAGATAATGCACTTGGTAAGAATCTTGTAGGTGAAATATTGCCTTAAGCTTAAGACATATCTCTACATTTTAAAGGACAGTAGAGAAAAAGCCTCCTACTATGAAAAGAGGAGACTGACAATGCCAGGGCCCGAAGTGAATTATTACACTGCTTTAACACAAAGCAGCAATTGAGATCTGATCCTGAATAGTTGCTTAGCACTTCCTAGCTTTTGCTGGTAAGTAACAGGAGCTGAATGGCATTCAAGCACATCCCAGCACTCTGTGGAGATTTGATACTGTTCCCTTCTTTCATAATCTGCTTTGTTCACCAGCTTCAGATAAATTGTTAATTAAGAGAATGCCTGCATGCAGTTGCATACACCTTTGCAAGAACAATTCGATAACAACCTAGACAGCAAAGCGTGGCTAACAGTCACGTTTGGGGGAAAGTCCTCTGTTAAGACAGCAGGGAGGCACATCCCTTCAACAGTGATGCAAAGTGCAGTAGGAAAGGATAAGGATTATGTACCCCCTTGCAGGCGCTTTTGGGTCCCTAATAGCCAATAGGGTTAAATACCTTAACATACCTTGAGGTTAAATACCTTAACAGCCACCTCCCCGACATGAATTTATCCTTGCTACACAGAAGACTGCATCTCCCCAGAAGAAAAAAGACTGGGTGGTGGTTTTAGATGTGCAAACCCTCCAAGAAGTTGAAAATTAATGCAACAAGGAAATGCTGAAGGAAGACTGACGATATTTGTCTTTTGCAAGACAGAAAACAGTGCTGCTAGGAAAGAAGCACTACCCATAAAATGAAGTATGTATCAAAACTGCTTCAGTGACACTCAAGTCACACACACTGCAGCATCACAGCTCTGAGAAGAGGCAGGCAGTGCTTCTGGAGTATGTAAGTCTGCCACCCCAACACGTTCTATAAATTTATGGATGTATCTAAACTGGGACATTCAAGGTCAAAATCCACTTTTAAACGCACATACTGCCAAGTGGAGCATAGAGTAGATGTGATCATCCTTTGTACCTGCAGTAACTGCCACAGGAATAAAGTCCATCAGAAGGTCTCGGTCTGCTTTCCCAAAGAATCACTACCAAACACTTTCCTCTCTGCAAAAAGAAAGGAAATGGTAACACAGATCTGACACCAGAATCCAAGAATTACCAACTACTAGATGCTCTTTCTAGCACACTCCAGTTACTCCAAAATATACTTTGGAAGCCTAAGATATAAATGGGTCAATATGGACTAGTAAAGAGAGGTGAATTAAAAAAATCTTGCTATTTTAGCATCACCCTCTCTACAGAGGGGCACAAAGCAAAAGCAGACAGGTCTAGAGCACATGTAGTTAGCAAGTCACTGTGTCTTATCTCGATAGGACCGAATAATTCATCCACACTTTAGAAAACCTCCATTCTTACCCTCAGCTATGAATAGTGATATAGTCACATGAATAGGTCTACAGAAATATAACAAAAGAGAGATTGGCTCAAAACACCCTCCCCCCCAGTAACCATATCAACAAATAAGAGAAAGAAATCTGTTTGGCAGAGGCATTTGGTTCTTCCTCTCTTTTTGGTAATCTTTTAACTTCCCAAAAAAACCCCAAAAAACCAAAAACCAAACCCACAACAGTTGCATTGGAGTCAAAGAATCAAGCTTAAGATAGTCACAAAAAATAAAGGATGTATTTTTCTCCAAAGATCAAAACCATAACTAACGTAAGACATTCATATCAGAGAAGTTCAGTGTCCAGAAAAACTTCTGCCATATAAAAAAGATACTGCAATTGCATTACTGCTTAAGAATTTCCTTGCTCAAACTGCTTAATTCTTCTCTCATGAAGTTGTGTCAGTAACTTGCTTTTAACTACAACATACAAACAATTTTTCTTCACCACCCTCATCTTATCTAAAGCTCTTCTTTTGTTCTGGAGAGTTTTGTCGCATGCTCCTCTACAAATTTGCTCAAATGCTCTAAATCTCTGTCCCCGCCTTCAAATTTAATAGGGTTGTTCTTCTTGTCCCTCGGAGCAAAGTAGATAGTGGGGAATCCCTCCACTTTGTAGCGGTCACTCGTCACGTCGTTGGCAGTAGCATCCATCTTGGCTATAACTAGATTTTTCTCATTCTTGTATTTTTTGCCTAGCTCGGTATACACTGGTTCTAGTTTCTTGCAGTGTCCACACCATGGGGCATAGAACTCTATGAGAACATCATTCTTTGGATCCATTACTATGGTATCAAAAGTTTTACCCACTACCACTTTCACAGGCCCTTTGTTATTTTTTGGCACTGGCTGGGACTTCACAATAGGCTTCAGTTTTCCTAGAAGGAAGCAAAACACATACCATTGTTAGAATACAGTAAGAGCAGTCCTTATGATCTCCCCCAAGAAAGGGCAGAAGTACACCCTCCCGCCAGGGAAAAGCATTGCACCAGTAAGTGAACTTACCTCTGCATGAAACATAGGCCAGCTTGCTGGTGACCTTTTAGCACAATAACCTTGTGAAATATGGACAACAATTTGTTTCACAATTCCCTAGAACTTTTCTCCCTCTTTTTATGGCTGTCCATCCACTATGTATTAGACAGTGATTTATTATACTTGTCCCAAATACAAATGATCAGCTCACACTTCAAAGCTGCAAGAACATTTTAGGCTTGCCAAACACGCTCAGTTTTAGAATATAGCTAGATGCCACAGCACAGTCCAATCAAAGTTAATGAACTGGGATACCAAAAAAAAAAAAGCAGCAAGAAACATCCAAAAGCTTTAAGCCAGAGCACTGTAAGGTTGCACGTACGACTTTGTTGTAGCCATTGCCTCAGGAAAAACTCTTGGAAGGGGAAACAAAGCAAATGGCTTAGAGAACCCTATTTTAGAAACTATACCTTTTTTGAATGCCAGCACAAATTGCCTGAGTACATCAGAGTCAAACTCTTCTGGCTCCATGGCATATTTCTTGCCACCTTCATCCAAAATGGCTACATTGACATCCTCGCCACTCTCAAGCAGGCCCAGATCTTTTATTTCAGAAGAATAATCTTCCTCATCAGAAACAGCAAACACATATTCAGGGAAGTCTTTGGCCACTTCCAGGACTTTGCCTCTCCAGTACTGGGTAGCTGAAAAACCAGAACACAATGGGATTAGTAAATTTCTAGTTACTTACTGCTTGCTTCCTCCCAAAGTGGAGGAATGGTAATCTTAGTGAACTTACCAACACGGTAGTCGAAACTGAAGTCTACAGAATAATAGACAACCACTAGAGGATGCTTAGCATATCTTTTAGCATCATTGGAAGGCTTGCGATGGCCAACTAGAGGCAAAGCATGTTTTAGCACGTGCTCTTTAATCTCCAATCCATCTGTAGAGTCCTGCTTAAAAAAATTGGAAAAAAGTTCAGACAAATGGATTTAAGTGGCATTTGTTACACACTACTGAAAACTAATGTTGATGCATGCATGAATGAGAAAGAGGGCCATGTTATAAACAATGCTGTCACCATATTCTTCAAATCCTTGAGCACTAAAGATAATTTAGTACTCTACCCTTAAACTGAATATTGTAATGGTACATTATTATTTGAATACGTAACCTCTGGGTTAATTTCATAAAGCTTTCTTGAACCAAGCAACACTGTTTTCAGGGGACAAACAGGTTGCGTCAAATATCTAGTGGAGTACTTCCAGCAGGAAGGTGCCAACTGCTCATATATACAAAGAAAGAGAACCTTCAATTTGCGCACAAACTTTCTAGCTTTGGATCAGCTACTCACTTTAAGATCCAAAACATGCATCTTGGGCTCGTGCTTTGACTGAAATTTTTCTGGCTGCATGACAACCAGTTTTCCTGGAGATGCTTTCAATAGTTTTGCAATCTCATTGCTGAAGGTGTGATGGAACTTGTAATCTTCTCTTAAACCGTTAGCTGAAAGATTAAGGTTAGGGAGAAGGAAAAGTCATTAAGAAGTGAACTGACAGCCTCCAAATGCAATCTTGAGACTGCACTGCAAGGAAACTCTCTTCCCATCCTCAATGGGATATGGAGCAACCCAGAGTCTTGGGGAACAGCTCTCATCCAGGGGTGAGAAGCATGTGAAGTTACATACAATTTGAGTAGCACTACTTGAATGCTGTTCAACAACCCCTCTACTTGATGAGTTAGTCTACATATTCAAAAAACCTTGAACAGCTTCCAAAACATATACAGTGAAACAGCTATTTGTTTATCAGTCTCCTACCTCTTGGCTTCAGCCCAAATAACAAAGTAGAGCTGGAAAAGAATTCAAGGTCACCTAGTCAATCTATTTGCTTTAGGGCAGCCTGGAAACAGTTCCATATCTTGCCATGCTGGAGCAACCAAATCACTCCTAATCCAACTATTAGGAGAAGCCAGGGTGAGAAGAATTGCCCACACTGTTCTCAAGGTTCTGGCAGAAGCCAAGAGCGGCTGCGAGTGGTTCAATCACACGAAACACAGGGATTGATTAGAAGTGTTCTGTCCCTTAAGTGCTTAGCCTCTTCTGTGTGGTAGCAAATATTGTTAACAGGACCGTCAATGTAACACGTCAAAGGGGTTTAAGAATAAACATTGCCAGGAATGGTCTAGCTAAACTGATCCAAAGGTGGATGATAATTCTTTCTCCAGGCACCCCACCCCAAACAAGTTTGTCAGAGCACAGCCTCTGGAACTGTCAGATATGAAACAAGCAATAGCAGATGGCAAAGCTAGCAAGGCTTTAAGCCATTAAGTTGCAATTTGTTCCTCAGCTAGGAATTTTCCCTCCTCTCTAGTTCGCATGTTTTTAGGGACACAATACCAAGAGGAGATGTGTGTCCTGTACTGGCTGATACTTTAGTTATAGCCTCAAAATCTGGTGTGAGCTTTTTTCTTGAGTACAAGTGGAAGATCACCCTTCAATCTCCCTCCTCTTATTCCTTTCCAACCTCCCCCACTGAACTAAAAGCAGAAATAAAGGATTTCTCCATGCCAAAGTCCTGGACAGAATCTCAACAGAACATACATTTCATTAATATTTCAAAACACTCTTTACCTGCTTCCTGATAGAGCTGATAGGCTTTGTCATTCTCTCCAGTAAAGACACCAATGATGATGACATCATCCCCATCCCTCAGAAATTCCTGTACCTGCTTGGTAGCCTGAATCTGTTTGGATGGAGGACCAGCCTGTTCAATCATGTAGTCGACAATACCTGTGAGACAAACCCACCCCCAAAAAGTTGCTTAGAACATTTGTTGAACTGAAAGGTTCAGGCATTCCCTCTACGACATTGTTTAATACCACATTTCCCATGGACACCCTTCTTTCTGTGCAGCCCTCCCACAATAACTAAAAGACCAGATCAGCAAGACCTCAGTCCAAGTTTCTAAAGCTGCAGTTCTGGATATTCTCTTTCAGGTTGGTTTCAGAAGAGGTGCCCAAGCATGAGTTCCACAGATATCAGCCAATCTTTCAAGTAACCCTCCTTTCTGAAATTCCAGACCCTTCACTGTCTGCTGACCCTGCTATGAGCCAAAGTTCTACTTGGATAGTCTTAAGTCTTCCCTTGTATTAAAACCTAACATTGAGCACTTTGCCAGCCCTTATGGCGCATTCCAGTGCAATCAAAGGCTGCCCATTTACTCATACTGCCACTGCTTCACCATGTGTATTTAACTTACTTTATATTTAAACGAGCTTATAGTACCACCATAAGATGCTATAAAGATTAGAGACAAATTTATACTGCTGGCCTATGTAGGTATGAGAGTACAGTTTTTCAGGTTTCCCAAATACCACTGCTATGATGTTAACAAGTCTGCATGTCCTACAGATACATCACAACATTTGTGGTCAAGTCCTCAGACAATAAGAAAAAGCAGAAGTTGCAGTACCGTATTTTTCCCGTGGACCACTGTAGTCATAAGGTTTGCCCTTCCGGAAGATTTTCAGGGTTGGGTAGCCAGTAACATCAAACTTCTTTGCAAGCTCAGTTTCAGCAGTGGCATTCACTTTAGCCAGAGGAATAGGAGGTGTGCGCTTGCTGAGCTCCTGGGCAGCCTTCTCGTATTCTGGAGCAAGCCTTTTGCAGTGTCCACACCTAGGGAAGGTGAGAGGAGGGCAGTTTTCATAAGCCCTGAGTCCTGCTAGGTACCTTCTACCTCTGAAGTGGAAGAGTTAAGTCTTCTAGAATGGAGAAACTAGAAATGGGGTTATTCAATCTACAGAGGACATTTCAGTCTAGTAAGACTTGTTTCTTCAACCTGAAGGTAGCCTCCATGTCTGGCCCCACGTTACTATAGGTAATTTTGTTTTTAGAGGCCATTTTTAAACTAAGGACCAACTCCCTTTGGTTTTCAGTATCTTTCAACATGTTCCCAAATTAGTAAATAAGGAGAATCTTCAGTGAAGTTTTGGAGACCACACCTTGCTGAGACACAGATCCAGTCTAGTTTTCCAAGTGATTTGTTATGCAATCCTAGGTCCAGATTAGAACTAAGGTACCCCAAAGCTACACACACCTGAACAAGGCCAGCCTCTTCAAAAGAGGCATAACAACCGAAGACAGGTTCACCAAGCGTGTTCAGGCTGGCTGTTCTAGGAAAGTACAGGTGACTGCCTTCTTGCTTACCATGGAGCATAGAACTCCACCAGGATTATGTCAGCACCATTCACAACGTCGTCAAAATTATCCTGGGTCAATACCAGGGTAGCTTCTGGTGGAGGGGTCCAATTGGGGTCAGAAACCTCCTTGACTTTGGCCACAATTGCTGAAATACAGTTCAACGGCCCAGTTAGCAAGTTTGCATTATCATACCAGTAGCATATCGAATGCAAGAGTTGATAACAAGGATTTAAAATCAGAGTGGCAAGCATGGTCTTGGACCAAAGCTTACACGTCAAGCTTACACAAGGACACTTTCTTAAGCTCCTTTATGTTTTACTTCATTGTTGGTATTGCCAAGAAGGTCTTCTCTTAACCCCATAGAGCATCTTACTTATGCAGAGCACAGATATGTACCTTGCAGCACCGTAGCACATGAATTCCATTTCAAAACAGACAGAAAAGGTAGTTTTTCCCCTCTGACTGAAGTTGGACACATTCATTAAGCAAGAAACAAGTGGTTTTATATACAGTCAATACATAGATCAGATGTTTCTTATTAGCTGATTCTTCAGCAATCATGAGACTACCTCTTCTTCTAGTCAAGTCATTTCTAGAAACCTTCAATCAGTAACAGCACCACCCACTACCTACAAAATTGTCCTCTAGCATGCAGCCAATTGAGAAGACAGGCAAAATTTCAGCCTTCATAATATTATTCTGCTTAAGATAAAGTAACTTGAGATTGAAGTCCTTTAACATAGTCACATTAAGAAGCAAGACCATATACTTCTTTGCTTTCTTACACAGGACTTGCAAAGGACTGGTGCTTACCATCTTCTGTCCGAGAACCGTCATAGTCAACAGGTTGGCCTTTTTTCAGGATTTTGATGGTTGGGTAGCCGCTGACATCAAAACGACTTGCTAGTGAAGTGGCTGCAGTAGCATCTACTTTGGCAACTGGAATAGGAGGGTCATTTTCCTTCAGAGTTTTGGCTATCTTTTCATATTCAGGAGCAAACTGCTTGCAATGCCCACACCTGTCAGAGGAAGCCACAAGTAGATACATAAATGTATGACATTTATGACCCGCAAGGGTATTTTGCTATTCTGAATTTCCAGGATGCCTTCTGACAGATGTTCACAACGTCAACATAAGGATGTTTGTCTTGCTATGTTTTCAGATCATAGAGAGGTAGAGAGTAACTGTAGCTAATGTGCTGTTTGTTCAAATCCCAACTTTTTTTTTTTCATTCCAAAGGCAACACATTTCCATATATGATTTAAAAAGCCATTGTAAAAAAAAAATAACAATTCCTTTTAAAACAAAATTGCAAACCTCATACTGTGCTTCTCCTTCCTCCCTGGTCCCCCAAATATGGTCTCATTCAAACCAGCTTCTCCCTAATCTAGGTTCATCTTCTCTACCCAGCACCCTAAATCGAACTAAAGAGAAAAATGAACCAGTAGTTAAGCTGGCCTAATGAAGTCTCACACCCACCACAGTATTGCAGCACCTGCTCTCTCTCTGGCCATACTAGAACTCTTTGGGAAGAACAGAGGCTCCTGATGCAAAAGCTGGCATGACAAAGGATACCAGCACAAGAAAACCTGAATATAGATTGACGAGCTGAAAACGAAACCAGGAAAATGAAGAAAAAAAAAAAAAGAGGGAAGTTGTGTGTAGTAGACAGGCTGTACTCCTCAGCCTCTCAACTAGCAGGAGGGGGAGTAGAAAAAGGAAAAGAGGTGTTTATAGTCTGTGATGACCACACATCTTTCTGCTCGGATAAATTAAGCTTCACGTTCAGTTTTCATGCAGGCAAACTACAGCTGCAGAAATACTACCTACAGCCAAGCAGGGATGGGATTCTCTGTAATGAGAGTGGCATTAGTTAAAACGCAACTCCACCTCAAGCAGTATCATATTCTCCCCTCTATTCAAAGACTAGAAAAGGACAAACAAGTAAGTCGTCTTTATATCACTAAGCCACAAAGGAATAGAGGTTCTGGCTCCAACACTAACTCAGTGACTTGACTACAAATATATTCTATTCTTGTTTTTCCCCACTAACCATGCCTATTATTTTTGTCCATAAGAATGCAAGAGAAGATACATTCTAGCCTATATTCTTTGTCGTCAGCTGTATGCAGGTAAATCCATTGTAGCTCCCCTGAGCACACTGGTGTTACTCTGCATACCCTGGTATGCCAGAAGAATTATCATCATTAGGTAGATGTATGAGGCACTGTTTAAATTGATAATACAATCTATGTCCTTACTCACACCACACCCTTCTGGCAAGGACAGAGATTTGAACTTGAGAAGGAAAACCTTCTAGCAATTCCCCTGCTAGGGAAGCCCCCTCCATTTCTCCATCTAGATGAGCAAGTGCACAAGTTCTCAGTGGGCTGAGATAGCAGGCTGCGAGACCGCACTGTGTGACTTTTTTGGGGCTCACTGGGACCATCTCTGTTCCCTGACAGGCACAGAGCCGGGATGGACCCAGAGCTGTGCTTCCTTTGGCATGCAATCCCTCAGCATGACCCACTTCTGTGAAGAAAGAGCAGGCTGTTGTCTGCCACATGGTACAGGGGCAGGGAAAAGGGTACCTCCCACCACCAGAACCGTCTCCTACCCTGGACTCTCCTTCTATGGCAGAGTCCCGTGCTCCTCCTGCAGGCAAGCTACTCCTACATTACCTTTAAAATTGCAACCCAAGCTCACTTTAGGAGTGTGTCCTGTCAGAGAAGCCCCTGACAGCCATGCCATCCTGCACCTAAGGAGGTACCACGGGCTGTGAACCCACCATGGCGCGTAGAACTCGAGCAGCACAGTGTCCTTGTCTGCAGTAAAGGTATCAAAGTTTGCATCATTCAAGACTAATACACCATTTTCTTCTTTAACTTCAGAATCATCATCGTCGTCATCTTCATCATCTTCATCATCATCATCACCATCATTGTCAGCTTCTTTTGTAACAGATTCTGGGAAAGTAAAGGTAAAATGCAATATGGATTAGACTGTGTCAAGTTTAATATTAAAATAACACTACCAAGTTAAAGATGGATTAAGTATATCCTGTGGTTAAAAAAAGTATCAACACAGGTTAGCTCCTGCTTCACGTACAATGACAGCTACCTCAGTTTGCAAAGAGCTTGGACTCTGATGTTTGACCAGTCCCATTTCATTTCTGTCCACACTATGCCAGCTAACAATACCAATATTTCCGTAAAGCGTCAACATATATTTTGCTCTTCAGGGCAAACTAACAAAATGGACACAACAAGAATTCATGCAGACCTGTGTGACAGTCGTTACCAAGGTCCATTGGGTATCTTATTAAAATGTGGGAAGCGAGGCACCAGGCATGTTTTGTTGGGCAAGAAGGACACACAGATGATACCTGAATTCAAACAGAAGCCCTCCATCATGCAGCAAAACAGCTGTCCTTCAAGCGCAGCAACTTGTGGTTGGAAAAATTAGGTATCTTGTACCAAAAAAGCAGATGTTATCTGTCCCCAGTGCTTTTCTTGTACCCTTACTCACTACACCTGTAACACCACAACTGCCACGCTCTGCCTGTCTGAAGGTCTAATAAACAGACAGGCTTGCTATTAACTCAAATGCTACCATTTCACTACTACCAAGGTGGTTTAGAGGCAGCACTTCAAAGTTATGCTTCTGTTCCTGACCACTTGATCCCACCCCTGCCACCTCAATATATCTTGCTTTCAGTTACAGCAAAGTTTCAGGTCTGCAATTCATTGAAGAGGATTCTCACCCACCAGAGCACCACTCTACTCTGGATCAGCACCAGGCTGCAGAGTGAGTGTAAAATCAAATAAATAAGTGACTGTCACAGAAGTCCCATCTAAACCCACTCCCACGCACTTGGCAGATGCAAAGTACTCGTCTGAAATAAATGGAGTGAAAACTTTTCAAGAACTTTTGGGGAGGACTTTGATTTAAGGAGACCAAAACCGCTAGACAGAACATCTCCTTTCAAGGAGAAAGCAGATTTGCTAAATTACCAAAGTAAAGTTAGCACATGAAATCTGAAGCCAGGACATTTCAACTGGTTCAATCTTTGTTGGCTTGGAATTTGAGATGGTTTCTTTAACATTTGATTTTTCACATGTTCCTTTAAAACTTTTATTTTTAAAACTGCTATCGTTCAAGACAAGCAGACCTTCCTGAATGACTTTAAAGGTATTTCAGTCACAGAACAAGTCATGCAAATACCTCATCCCAAATGAAAACTGTACAACAATGAAGCTAAGGCCCTTTCAAGCACTGGGAGGTCCAGGATTTAAAAAAAAAAAAAAAGTTTCTTGTTCAAAACTATTCTCTACTTAACTTTAATTGGCTTTTGACTAAGCTGACAAGAATTACTGCAGTAGGACTGCAAACCAGGTACAAGCAAATTACTTATTCAGGACAAGAATTCTGAAAATACTCTGATTTCACCTGGAATTTGAAAGTCAAGAATGATAAATATGTAGTATCCAGGTATGAAAAAGTAATTAAAACCAAACCCCACTATTCTCAGACCAATAGCAGACCATAGAAACAAGCTCACTGTGGACATAATTACGATGTTGAATTGCAATCGCCATTTTTCTGTTAGAAGAAGGTATTAAAAAAAAATAAGTCTATATGCTCTCAGGAAACAATATGCGCCCCTGGAGAGAATGCATTAATTTTAATTAGAACCCAACTTTACACACCACCAAAATATTAAAGCTTCTGATGAGGAGAGAGATCACAGATGATCATTTATCACACAATAGTAGTCACCTGGATTAAGTTTCTTTAATAACTATTACTGTTTCATCTGATCTATGAAGCAGCTAAAAGCACTATTTGCAAGTGGACAATGCCTCCTATGTTGCTGCCTCTGAATACTTGCAGTGGAAGTGCTGAACTGTGAAACACCCTTGAAGTGAATCTATGGCAGTCATGTACCTATGGGACTGCACTGGTGAAAAAGCTAGTTTTCAGGGGGTTTCAGCAGTCAAAAATTCTGCTTACATGCATGCCCAGCAGTTTTGAGGGCTATGCTTCACTGCAGGGTGTTCGTGATTGGTCTGTGCCTGAATTCCCAGCAAGTTGTGCAACGCCCATTGCTTTTCCAAGCAAATCACTTCAGAATTGATTTTTCCTGACACAAGAGAATTTGAGCAAAACTAGCCAGCCAATTCTGCTCACGCATCTTTGAAACTAACCACCAGGCTGTGATTCTCATTGCTGCTTACTATGCTAACTACCTGCCCCCAACAGAGAAAAAGACCACCGCAGCTACTGTTGCACAGGCTCATGGTTTAGAAAGCTGAGAACAAAGCATCACCTACAAAAACATCCTGCACAAGTGGAAAGTGTTACCACTAGATCTAACATCCATCACTGAAATAATTTTGTATCTTTCACTGCAAGCGTCTGCCATCATAAAACTTCCTTGACAGTGATATGTTGTCATGGGCATTATAGACACCCACTTCCTCCTCCTCGGAGGTGGAGGCAGGACAGTAGCACGTAACAGCAGGACTCCAGCTTTTCCCAACTGGCTTACGGAGGGCATGCATTTAAAAAAAAAAAAAAAGTTAGCCACACCTATAAATTGGTCCTTAAGAGTGCAAACTCACCCTCTGTAGTCCCCAGGTTCACCGACAGGGTTATCATAGCTACCTCTAATGTCCCCTTTAGTGTGGGGACTGAAAGACCTGCTTCAAGGACCTGACCGAGTACGGCAGAGGTAAGCTGGACTTTTTTCTTTAAGAGCAAGAAACTTTCCTTTGCATTAACGATTTACAATTTGAATAGAACAGACAGAACGAGTCTAACTATGACACCTGAAATGGCAGAAGTAGCTAATAAATATTTGCATAAGACAGCTCATGAAAATAAGATAGCAGCACACAAACTGAAGTGTCTTTGTTTCTTAAAGCTACTTGCAAAGCAGGTGGACAAACCAACAAGTGACACCCGTGGCTAAAACCTGCCCTCCAGTAGAATACAGACCACTCCCTTTTACCCCAACAAAGCATTTCCACAAATTTCAACACATTATTACACAAGGCAAAAAACACAATGAAGAGGACACTCATTTTAAGACTTCAGGTACATGATGCTGGCTGGCAGGCCTTCTTCAGGATGACAGCTACTCTAACCAAAATTAATTCTTAGAGTAACTTCACTGAACTTTCAGCGTTTATTGAAAGTCTGGGCTAGTAACTTTTTCTTAAGTAGGGTGAATCCCGCATGAAAAAGCGCATCCAGACATCAGTGACTTCTGGATTCTGCCTGAAGGTTTCCTTTTGAGGAGGGCACTGCAGTGTCTGTTTCTCAACTGGATGAGCTCAGTTTTCAGAAACACAGAAGTCAAGACTTGTGATCTGTTGCCAGGGCATTCAAAAGCCTTTTTATGAAAGCAGTCTTCCTCAATCTTTTCTGTAGTGGATCCTCTACACGATCCCTCCTTTTCCTTCATCAGGATGCAAAGGGTATAATGGTCATGACCTAGGCTAACCTTGCTGAGAGCATATTTGCCTCACTGCCCTAGTCAAACTTTACTTCCAAAACCATACAGTGCAACAAGCCTAGTTTCATCCGAATTTTTCATCTCCTGAACAATCAGCTTACGTAAGGTTAGTTGCTTGTTGCAAAGTAAATTTGTTCCACTTCATACAGGTCTGCATTTCAAGGGCAAAAATGGAAATCCCTAACTACATGCATTTTTGAAGCAAAGGCTTGGTAAAACCTAGCTCATGTTTTATACACAATTTTGAAATACACAATAGAAATAGGAAAATGCAATGGATTAGTGTTCAACTTGCACACAGGAGGAAATACTTTCATCACTGTGCATCTTTGATCTCGAGAACTCATATAATGGGAAGAACAGCACACATGGGAAATACTGATGAGAGCCTGGCCCGCGAGAAGCTGAGCTACTGCTGTCAGCCACAGGACCCAGGCTTTGCTGTAACATCACAGATGTTACTTATCATAGAATCATTAAGGTTGGAAGAGACCTCCAAGATCATCGAGTCCAACCATCAACCCAACACCACCATGCCCACTAAACCATCTCCCTAAGCGCCTCATCTACCCATCTTTTAAATACCTCCAGGGATGGTGACTCAAGCACTTCCCTGGCCAGCCTGTTCCAATGTTTAACCACTCCTTCAGTAAAGAAATTTTTCCTCACGTCCAAAACTTCATCATTTGAAGGTAGTAGAGGAAAACAGTACTGGGCTTTGTCACATGCTACAAAGCGATGACAACCAAGTGTTCTAGCTAAAAGCAGAGAAACAGACATAATACAGAATCTTCCTGTGAAGTTCTTTGTTTTTAATTCTAAGCTGAAATACATTAACTCCTTACTGCAGATGCTATATCCTATAAAAAAATCTTTTTATCTTTATCCTATAGATTGCACAGTTGGTCACACAGATAAGGTAGCTGACATAAATGCATTTCTTCAAGTTTTAGTGCCTGTTCACTGAGCAAGAATCTGCAGGGCAGGAGTTCAGGAGGTCATCCATAATCCGGTCTCCCTGAACGCCCTCTAATACTTAACATACAGCAGTGTTAACGTAGAAAATATGAAAGATGTAGGATTTCTCAAAATCCACGTGAAAGACGGTTAAAAACAAAAAAGAAGCACCTTCAAATGCCTGCCTCCTTCGTACAGGCGCTAAACTTGTGAGTCAGAGCAGCTTTGTTTCAGCTAATTTTGGAAAGGAGAAGACACGCATCAGTGAAATTCAAAGACAACGGGAAGAAACACCAAGAAACTAGCAACACGCGGCCTTCCTTCTACGAAAAAAAAAAAAAAAACAATCAGTTTGAAACACACAGCATGCACGGATCCCCTGAACTAAGGGGTAAGGAGAAGAGCGCTCCGTCGGATAATGAAATTGCAGACTTACTGGTAATTTAAAAAGTCAGTAATCGCCAACATGGCTAGTTACTAGCTTTTAATTCCGTGTTTAGAAGAGGCGAGGCAGAGCTGCCGCACAGCGAAGGAGAAAGGAACAGCGCTGTGACAAGCGGGCTCTCAGGGACACCAGCGCCTTCACGGTGGGGGATCAGCGCCCT